TATATATATATATATATATATATATATATATCTCAATATTTCCTATAAAACAAAGAAAAAATTTATGTACCCTGTTTTAGCAAAATCCGTCCACATTTGCGTAAAATAATTTATCATTGTGTAGTCATCTGAACCAGGCTTAGGTAGTGACAAGTTCATTGCATTTGCAACTTCTGGGCAAAATAAGAAAAACAAATCCTCTCCGTGGGACACTCCTGTAAAATATTTTTACAATATAAAATTGTTCTGAGAATTGCAGACTTATTATATTTTCTAAATTTACATATTTCTTAAATTTTTAAGTTTATTAAATTTTTTAATATTAATTTTTTTGTTAAATACGAGATATTCGTTTTTGCTTTATATACAATTAATCAAACAGAGATGAACGTAATAACTGAAAAATAAAAATCTAGAAGCATCAAGCATCACTGAATAAAAATAGATTTGTATTAATTATATAGCAATAATATTATACCTGGAAGTCCGAAACGTTGCACTTTTTTCATAAGAGAAGTTTTGCTCTCGTAATCGAAATGATATAGATACGTTGATTTGTAACCACCAGAAGACTTTTGTAGTTCACATACATCCATTATGTCGCGTACGAAATATTCGTCTCCTAAGAAATACGCATAATTTATCAAAGTTTTCTCTGATATTTCTTCTTTTCCAAAATATAGAGATCTTAATTCTTCGACAGTAATTCCTATTTTAGGTAATCTGGATAATACATTTGGTAATATTGCTTTTTTAAAATCAGCATTTACTTTTTCCAAATCTTCTTTGCTTATATCTAAAACAATTTTAAAAGTGTCATTATAACAATTATTTTGAGGTATTGCATGCTAAACAAGTAATAATATTAGGAGAACTTTTTTTATTAAAGACTAATTGATTTTATAATGTTTGTGAAAAGCATTTATCTTTAAAATATAATGCATAATATAAAACAATAATAATATATTATAAACTTTTTATCTAGTGTTGTATTTCAATATTGTATTTAATATAGATTTGAACGTTGGCAAACATAAAACCAATAATTAACTAATGTTTTTACAAAAATAT